CGTTAGTTTGGCTATTAACCCATATTAGCATCAAGTTCTGGGTGTAGCCAGGGGCTAACAGTAAAAACCTGGGTTCTAATCCGCCAACCAGCTATATAGGCTTAACTGAATTATTTGTCTTTTCTGTGTCTACATTTTACTTCTCTGAAAAGTATAGTTGATACTTACCCTGAACATTTTCTGGATTATTGGCAGAATTAAGGAAGATAAGAGATATGGAACCACTTGAAAGTTTAGAAATGCATGCAATTGTAAGGCCCTTCTGTAATATCATAGCAAAGTCCCTTCTCTCATATTGAGCCTGAATGTTCTCCTTGTCCTCCTCAGGATGTGAAGAGAAGTCAGAAAAAAAGTACAGTCCCTATTGTTGCACACTCATCATCTGCCTCCTCAACCTTGCACAGCTCTAATTGTACCTAATGAAAGAAAAGTAACATTTTTAGGTCTCAGTTACAGGAAACATTTTAAATAGAACTGGCCTGGGGCATTTTTCTAAATAAAATCTAAATAATGCAAGATTGTTAGTAGGAACTGTGCCAGGGCTGGATTACACAACCAATAAAAATCAACTTGAGTGTCAGACTGTCAAACAGCCTTGATCATACTGACCCCAGGTCACTGATGGAGACAGAAGGACTCCACCTGGCCTTGTCTTTAAGTTCCAGAGACCCTGAGCATCATCAAGGACTTTATACTAGGGCTTGTTCATGCGTTAACAAGCAATTTACCACAAGCCTTTCCCATGCTAGAGACCAGAGCAAGAATGAATTCATGCAGAGACCGTGCCCAAGGTTGTTTGTGGGTAAAAGTAAGAGAAAACAGAAACATGAGTTTCTCCTTCAACCCATCAGCCATCCCCAGTTTGGGTTCCCTGCCCTCATCCCTATTCCAAGTTAATGAAGGTGCTTTTGGCACGACCTGCATAGTTTATAATTTGGAGGGATTGGGGAGGAAACACATCAGAATATCTCTTGTCTTTTGTCCTTAGAAAAACTTAACCTAGAGGTCTAGGCTTTATTATACAAGACATTTGTCTAAGAAACTCTTAGAAGGCTTAGTGAAACTTTTGCTAATATGACCTCCAAGGTTCTAGCCTTTGCCAAGTAGCTACTGCCCCTGTTAACTGAAAGTTTCTCCCTGCCTTAACTGTTTTCTTTTAATTCATTTCTTTTTGTGTCTAGGTCAGTGTGTCTTTTTGATCCTTTCAGATCTTCATGACTCTCTGATACTAGGCCTATTGCCCAACTGAGCTCTTTTAGACTTTTCCTATCAAGTAGCCATTATCCCTAACTCAGTGGCATACCTTAATCCATTACTGCTAGTGTACTGTTTTTATTATATTGGTGATTGATCATAATTACTATATCATACATAAATTATAATTATTATTTATTAAAATATATAATAACTATCCTGTCAGCAATGACAATTCTAACTATAATGTATGGAATGTCTACTATGTGCCAGATACTCTATTATGTGTTTGCTATGCATTATTTTATTTAATACTTAGACTGGAGAGGTCAGATATCGTAATCATTCCAACAGAAAATAGTAATGTATTTTTTTTAATGTTTTATTTATTTCTAGGAGAGAGAGAGAGAGACAGCGCGAGCAGGGGAGGGTCAGAGAGAGAGGGAGTCACAGACTGAAAAAGGCTCCAGGCTCTGAGCTGGCAGCCAGCACAGAGCCCGACGCGGGGCCCGAACCAACGAACCGCGAGACCATGACCCAAGCGAAAGTCAGATGCCCAACTGACCAAGCCACCCAGGCACCCCAATAGTAATGTATTTTTGCTTATGGTGTTATAATGAGAGGAACTCTTTTCTTAAACCTCCAGTGGAATCACCATAAAGGACTTCTTATCTTCCTTTTTCAGCTGAAGAAAGTGAGACTGAGAGATGTTACATTACTTGCCCAAGGACACAGAGCTAGTTGAACACAGTGGATCTTAGCTCAAAGCTGTGCTTTGATAAGAAACTACTCTATCTGTCCCTTACTTAGACTACTCTGTTTTTTCCCAGGGCTAAATACATTTGAGATAGTAAGCTTCTTTCATGGCACTGGACATTCTATCTGCTTTTATTATTGAGACTGCTGGTCGACAGCCCTTTTTTCCTGGGGTACAACATAATCATGGGAGGATATTTAACAAGTAATTCTCTTTCACCTGTAATGATGAACACCATGGAGCAGAGATGATCAAAGTCTATAACTAAAAGAACTGTTCAGAATACTTTGTAAACCTAGAAGAGGTGATTCCTCTGTGTTCCATACTTTGAAAAAAAAAAAACTGACAATTTATCTCTCCTCCATTTCCCATTTCTGCCCTAGTCTTCCTTGTCTCCCAGTTGTAACTAGTATATTCCTTTCTTTGCTAATATGCTAATGCACAAAACTTGGCTAAACCTTACCCTCATGGTACAAGAGTACCTGCAAAATTATCCCAAGTCATATTTAAGCAAGGAATGTGACATTTGATTAGTCATATATCTGAATCTGAATGAGGAAGAGAGGTTAGTACCACATGGGGCTGGTGGAGAAGTAGAGCAGAGAGGATATGTCTCTTGAATCAACATACTTTTTGATGCCCTGTCTTCTAATCAATTAACATATACTGAACATTATTCATTTAGATCTTAGGGATAGAGTAATAAACAAAAGCAACAAATTTCTTGCTTACATTTAACAAATAAATAAATGATAGAGGACCAGAAAGAAGAACAATTGTAGAAGTCCATGGCTCAAATAGGCTTAGTATACTTAAGGAACAGAGGAAATGCCATTGTGACTGAACCCTAAAGTAAAGAATAGTGTTGGGGTTCCTGGGTGGCTCAGTTGGTTAAGCATCTGACTCTTTATTTTGGCTTAGGATTGAGATCAAGCCCTGCATTGGCTCTGGACTGACAGTGTGGAGCCTGCTTGGGATTTTCTCTCTTCCTCTCTCTTTGCCCCTTCCCCACTTTCTCCCTCTCTCTCTCTCTCTCTCTCTGAATGAATGAATGAATAAAAAATCATTTAAATTAAAAAAAAAAAAAAAGTAAAGGAAAGTGTTATGACAGGCCAGATCATGTAGGGCCTTAAAGGAAGCATAGAGAAATGGAAATGTCTAGCATCAAAGTACTGAAGGTGGGGTCAAGAAGAGCCAAATAGCACCAAATTTACTTTCTTGCTTGAGACTGGTTGTTTCTTGTTTTGTTTTTGTTTTATTCTGGTGGTTTTAGATTCATGGCTTTTAAAGAGGCTGTCAAACATCTAGCAAGAGAATTAAATGATCCCTAGTGGGTATGCCTTTGGGTTCTAGGAATCTATACTGAGGAAGAGAGAAAAGCAATAGCTCACAATCTACACTGTGTAATGGGATTGCATCTGAACATTAGAATGGGAGTGCTTTGAAAGTATCCTACTCAGATGACACAGGCATGGGCATAGTCAGAAGTACTTGCCAGTAATAAACTTCACTAGAAATTGAAGTAACAGTAATTTTGATTAACTCAGTTTGTAAACCCAGTGGGCAGCACCATCTGTACCCCTGTGTTTTGTATAATATCTAGCACATTGTGAAGTTTCAATGAGTAAGTAGTATGAATATTAACAATTATTTGAGGCCAACTTAAATTATTGGCTGGTATGCTAATCCCACCTGTCAGGATTGTTATCACTTGGTTGTAAAACAATTTTGAGGTGCTCTTGGCACGTATTTTTAACAGAAGATATCCCTTGATGTTTAGAACAGACACAATCCTGATATGTCCCACCAAGAGATTTACAGTTGACCTTCTTCTAAGTCTTACCAGGTGCCTTTGATCTCTTCCTCACACTTTCCATTTTCTTTTGTGTGGTTGATATTACTGCATCCCACGTAGAGCAGAGTAAGGAAACGTCATGGGGCATACATAGGAAAATGAAGGAAGAACTGAATTCCATATATACCCTTATATAATGAGTTAGCCAGTTAATGCCCAATTTCTTAAAGTGGCCTTATGGTAAAATTCACTGTTGAAATTCCTTTATAAAATTAATATTGATGGATAAAATTAGTCCAGACCAACCACATTCTACTAGGATTTCTTCTCTGTCAGAACCCAGAATTTGGCCCCCAACATAGTTAAACAATTTAAAAAGCTATGAAAGTTAACAGGTATCTTCTGTATGTTGATCTGCTTTTGGGCATGTATCTTGTAAAAGTAGATGTTGGCTTTGAAACCAATGACAAAATTAAACAATCCTTGAAATACCTGTGAAGGGACTGGTCATAGGGACAGGGCAGAAATTACTATAGCTCTAGTTACAGACTTTCTTTTTTTTTTTTCTCTTTTTTTTTATTTTTAAAGAACAGTTTTATTGTGATAAGATTCATATAGTTAAAATCTGCTATGTCACTTAGTTTTTAAAATGACTTTTTTTTTTACAAACAGTTTATTGTCAAATTAGTTTCCACATAACACTCAGTGCTCATCCTTACAAATGCCCTCCTCCATGCCCATCCCTCCTCCCCCCCACATCCATCAGTCCTCAGTTTTTGTCAGCATTCAAGAGTCTCTCATGGTTTGCTTCTCTCCCTTTCCCCCACCATTTCCGCCCTTCTTCTCCCCCTTGTTCCTCCGTCAAGTTCCTCCTAATCCTCCTATACGTGCAAACATATATTTGTCCTTCTCTGCCTCTAGTTACAGACTTTCAAATAATTTTTTCCTACCATTTTCATTGTGGCAATATTTACCACTGTAAAGGAAGTCTGAGCTGTCTTATAGTTTAGAAAATGGGTACAACTGTTCTATGTAGTTATGTAGCTACTTCATGGTCAGAGATGTCCTCATTAGCATTTTGTTTTATATCTTCTTGTCAGTTGCACTGGATAACTGTTTTGTGTTGCTTTGATGTTGTTTCTGATTTCTAGGCAAGGTCCTATACATAAAGCTAAATACTCTTTTAATATATAGAGTACAAACACAGTTTTAAACACCCAGTAAAGCCATTCTGCTATTTCTATGTTCCTACAGAAACTCGACATATTGTATGAAGGTATCAATGTCCTTGACTGTTGCAGAGAATGAATCAGGCCTGTGCTACAATAGCAGGATACGCTATTTAGAAAAATCTGAAGTCACTAAAAGAAAAGAGATCTCCTGCCCAGACATGGATGACTTTAAAAAGTCTGATCAAGAGCCTGATGTTGTGTGGTACAAGGTAACTCAGCATGATGTCAATTATTATTATTACTATTATTATTATTTAAATCTTAAGTCAATAGCTAGCTTGGGTATAGAAAAATGGAGAGATTTTATGATTTTATTTCTATTTTTTTCATATTAGATATTTCATTGAGAAAAATGAACAGATCCACAGCTAAATAATTCATAGGTTTGACTTCTGTATGGTCCTGTGTTTAATGAATTTCCATCAGCAGGTGTCATTAGCAATCCATCTTCTCCAACTGCTAAAAATAAGTAAAGTCTCTCTTTACCCAAACTCATGAGAGCAAATGGAGAGAAGAGTAAAGATTCAAGTAAAACATGAAAGAAAGTATTTGAGGAACGTAGAAATATAATTTACTGTTAGGAGCAAAGGCCCATTATTACAAGTACTAGACTTAGAAAGAATAACAACTGTTATCATGATCTATATTGTGAGAGCCACTGGAGTCAATGTAGAGGAGAGAAATGGGCCTAGTGTATGATGGGTGAACACTGGAAATAATGTGTTTAGCTGGAAATAAGCCATACTCAAAGGCTGCACAGAAATGAATTGAGTAAAAGAACTATTCACAGAGGTGGGGTTGGGTTAAAGGAACCAACAAGGGAAGAAGCTGTAAATTGCTACTCTTAAGCCTTCAATGGCAGTGAGAAAGAACAGTGTCACTGGAACCTGGCCAACAGTAGAGTGGGCCTGACAAAAGCTGTCGCCTTAAAAGAACATATGAATTGTGGCAGATAAAGAGGGATAGGGCAGTACCCTAACCCTTTACAACTCCTGTCTTCTGGTTTCCTGCTAGAACCCATAGAAACTTAAACAGAAGTCAGAGGGCAAAACTAGGAGATAGAATAGTCTTCAGATTCCCTAGGCATAGAGTAGGCCAGACAAGGTCAGAGACTGGATCTAGGGGAGGAAGCAGAGAAATAACCACATATCCTTCTAGCTATGACATTCTGGCTGCTCCCTGGGACCCTGTGGTCCTATAAGAGAACTGTGTACCCTCTGCCAACTCTGAGTCATGATAGTTGACACATTTTTCAGTTTTATATGTTATGGTTAGAGGTGATCAAGGGGGTTTTCTGCACAGGTGTTGTGTACATTGTTGCAATCACGCACACATAAAAGCTGGAACAGGTTGTTCCTATAGTATATGACAGACTCTTAATTTCCAGGGAAGCCTAAATCCTAACTCCTACATCTGTCATGTATTTTTACATTTGGAAGCCTCTCTATCTTCACACCTGTATGATCTCACCAGTAGACACCAAAAGCATGTCCTGAACTGAGACCTCAAGTCTCTATGTGAATTTTCCTTCCTTTTTTTAAATAAAGATAATATTCTAACAGACAAAAAGGAACATGATGATCACTCTGTATAAATATAGAATATCTATAATTTAATGGGACCATTCATGCCATTATTAGTCTTCTTAGTGTTTATTAAGTACTTACTATATGCCACTCACTGTGCTAAGCTTGGTCTCTATATTATCTCAATTTGAGTCTCAGTACAAGTCTGTGTGGAAGTTCTATTATCTTTGTTTAATAGGAAAAAAAAACAACTGAGGGTTAGACAGATGCTTGTCCAAAGTTACTCAGCTAACAAGGACTGGTTCTGTATTTAAGGCAGTGTTATTCAAGACTCCATTTTCTTAATCACTATCCTTTCCTGCAGTGATCCTGGAGCTAAACCCAACCCTGACCACAGGCACTTCTCTGAGATGCAACACTGGTGCAGAGAAGCCTGTGAGAAGATAGAGTAAGAATGTTTTATTTTAATTTTATAATTGAAAAAGGAAAACTGACCAACTTCAGAGTTAGCAGCTAGGAGTAAAATCCAGGTCGTCAGCCTGCAATATTTATTCTACTATCTTTTCTTCTTATTTTTCCGATAAATCCTTTTTTTTTTTCTTCTTCTCATTTCTAGACATCACTATCATCATCATATGCCAAAGCAATTTATTCCTTGGGAAATGCTAAGTATCATTTTTTTTCTTAGAAATAGACCAACAATGGTGAAACAAATGGCTTTTCTAGCTCCATTTGGGTAATAACATTTAGGATTTCTATAATATTTTACAATTGATGAATAATAATTATAATGATAAATAACATTTGTTGAGTACTCACTATATGCTAGGCTCTGTTTTAAGTGCTTTAGATAGGTTAACTTAATATCTTAGAACTACTGTATTGGGTGGGTATTATTATCATACCCATTTTCCAGAAGAAGTGACTGGAGACTTAGATGAGTTAAATGACTTAACAAAATTCACACAGCAGTTTACAACTTGCATTTTGGCTACTGGGCCCATTCTCTTAACCACTACACTAACTAATGGATCAGAATAAAAAACTAAACACCAAAGTTAAAGAGTCCCTGAAGCTCCAAAATGTTTTGTTAACCCCATTTCCCACAGTTTCAAATATATCCTTGAAAAAAGTGTATTGATGTATAGGAAAAATGTTTCCTTTTTCAGTCATTAGTTTAATAATCTTCCCTGGTTGCTTTACAGAATCTCTATGCCCTACCAGGCTGAACATAAAGCGACCTTTCTTTGGATACAGCAATGAACACTTGTCCAGAGTTCATTCTGGTGCACATTCAAATTTGGAAATGTATAGTGTAATGGGTTGCCTGGGTGGCCCACTCGGTTAAATGTCAGACTTCAGCTCAGGTCATGATCTCATGGTTCATGAGTTCGAGCCCCACATTGGGCTCTGTGCTGACAGCTCAGAGCCTGTAACCTGCTTTAGATTCTGTGTCTCCCTTTATCTCTGCACCTCCACTGCTTATGCTCTGTCTCTCAAAAACAAACAAACAAACAAACAAACAAACACATTTTTAAAAGAAATGTACAGTCTATTATCTCTAGTGTTTTTTCATTTTTAAGATTTTTAAAAAAATAAGGTTCATTTATTTATTTTGAGAGAGACGGAGAACATGAGTTGGGGAGGGGCATAAAGAGAGGGAGAATCCCAAGCAGGCTCTACACTGCCAGTGCAGAGCCCGATGCAGGACTCAAACACATAAAATCTTGAGATCATGACCTGATCCAAAACCAAGAGTTGGACATTTAATGGACTGAACCATCCAGATGCCCCTATCTCTGGTGTTTTAACAGTAAAAAGTATGTGTGTTGCATGATCAGTTTCCAGGTCATCTTTATATATTCTTTATATAAAAGAATATATATATTTATGTAAAGAATATATATTTATAAATAATATATATATACAGAATATAATGCCAAGTGAAATAAATCTGTCAGACAAATGGAAAAACCATATAATGTCAGTCATATGTGGAATTTAAGAAACCAAAAAAAATGAGCAAAAGGAAAGCAATGGGTGAACTAAGAAACAGATTCTTAACTATAGGTAACAAACTGATGGTTACTAGAAGGGAGGTGGGTGGGGGGATGGGTGAAATACGTGATGGGATTAAGGAGTACATTTGTTGAGATGAGTACTGGCTGAGTCATTATATTGTACATATGAAACTAATATAACACTGTATGTTAACTATACTGGAATTAAAATAAGAAACTTAATAAAAATAGGACATGAGCAATGAAAATAAAAATACATACCTAGAGGTAAGACACTTATCTATCTGATTGGTTACCTCAGTTGATAAAAGGGTTAATGGTATTAATGAGTTAAGGCTCCCAGTTTGAATCCTTTTTCTTGTCACAGCTATCTCAATTTGAGATGATTACCATGGGTTATAAATGGGATGGGTTAGTACAATATGGATGGTTTACTAGAAATTCATTCATTTATTTGTACAACCATTCATTTATTCAACGCATATTTACTGGGTGCCTACCATGAGCTAGGCACTATTCTAGGAATTGGGGATAATGAAGTGACCAAAATAAACACATTTCCCCATCCTAATGGAGGGAATTAGATAAATAAACAGCTTCCCCTCAACACTCTAGAGAAGACCTATATCAATTAAAACATCTAAAAATCAGCTCCTACTTGAAATCAACAGCATTAGTATTGAGTATTTTTTTTAGTATTTTTTTTTTAAGTTTATTTATTTAGAGAGAGAGAGGGCATGCATGGGTGTGAGTGTGCAAGCTGGGGAGGGGCAGAGAGAGAGAGAAAGAGAGAATCCCAAGCAGGCTCTGTACTGTCAATGAAGAGCCTGACACAGGGCTCCATCTTGAGCCAAAATCAAGAGTCAGACACTTAACTTACTCAGCCACCCAGGCTACCCTACCTCTGTTTCTGACCATAGATAGACATGAAAATCTTTGCAAAGGAAATTGTCATAACTAAATAAGATCAGTTAATATTTCTATAATATATAATCATTGACAGTAATGTTTCACAAATCTTTTTCTATTATATAGCATACCTAGAAAATGGTAATAAGACACAGTGAGGTGATTGTATAAAAACTGCCCTGAGGTTTGGGTTACTCTAGACGTCATGTGACTGATGTAGGACTGAATCATAGATCACTGTGTCTATACCCTAGTAATTCTCCTCTAGCATCCCAGGATTCTATGGCCCACTAGTGGTTTGAAAGTTCTAGTCTATTTTTCCATAAAATGTAACATATAATTTTTTTATCTAAAGATAGCTGAATAAGTCAATCCTGGTTGTCCTTGGAGTGCACATGGTGTGTGGAAGGGGGCTGTCTCTCCTTTATTTGAGTCTCATCAATTAGCAAAATGAGGTGAGGCTAGTTACCATCATCTTAAAAAAATTTTTTTTAATGTTTTATTTATTTCTGAGAGAGAGAGAGAGAGAGAGAGAGAGAGAGAGAGAGAGACAGCATGAGCAGGGGAAGGTCAGGGAGAGAGGGAGATACAGAATCTGAAACAAGCTCCAGGCTCTGAGCTAGCTATCAGCACAGAGTCGGATGCAGGGCTTGAACCCACGAACCATGAGATCATGACCTGGGCCAAAGTTGGACGTGCAACCGATTGAGCCACCCAGGCGCCCCGTTACCATCATCTTTTTACAGATGAGGT